AGTTTGATTATAACTTTTGTCTAGCCACACTTGTCACTCTACAGCCGCTCGCTCACTATGGTTATAGCGTTCATTTCGTGGTTTCATTCTCCTACACAGCCTCTGGGTGCGGGTCAGTTCTTCATCCTTCCAGGCGAGGCTGCTACCGATTTGCCCAGGAGAGTAGAAGGCTTGGTTGGCCTGGGTATGCGACAAGAGGATCGTAATTCGCCGCACTGGTGGGCGTTGCGTGCGACGTCGCGCCCGCAAATGAGGATGTCCAGGTAGTAGATGGCGACAACAGGCAATTCAGAACCGAAAATAGTCATGAATGTCTACGATGACGGGGTCTACATGAAGTCCGGTGCTCCAATCGACAGGTTAACACGAGTTAAGAAAACGCCGCGCGCGGCGGAGCGGCAAATTACGATCCTCTTGCCCGTCTCCCGGTTGGCCTGGGCCGGAGCCGATGTGGGATTCGTCCGCCGGACAGCGCGCCTGTTAAGCGTACTATTTGTCACTACACCACCTCCCCCTCAGGATGCGAGATAATTTCACATCTATGCTATAGTCTATATCTGAAATGGCTCAGTATATAGCTCAAGATATAAGCTTTAACCGTTTTCATTTCCTAACAAATCTGAGGAGTGCTGTAGCTGCAGCACCTGCCATAAGAGAGGAACAACACTCTGCGACGACCTGCATGAGTAGCTAGCTAGTAGAGTTCCAACAAAAAAAGATTACAGTAGTGAATGATGTGGTGTTTGTTGTTGCTTTGTGATCCCACATTCTTCAGCCAGTCTTTGCCTGCTTCGCCATATGTGAACGCCCAGAATGCTGTGGATAACCTTGTCAAGTAAGTTTGCCGAATGTCATTTGTTGTTGGTGATTTTTTTTCTTAGATTTTTTTTATGTTTGAGCAAAAGTGTTTATTGTTTTGAAAATCTCACATTATTGGTTTACCTTTGTGGATGGTAGTCATATGTAGGAAAGAACCGGTACCTCACCACTGTCGCCGACACAGCTCATAGTGTGTAGTGTTTGTCGATTAAGAGTACCGATGGAGAGCACTAGAACATGAAAAATGCGGGTACAAAATTTTATTTCGTGATCAGGTATCAGAAAAACCAGACGAGAAGATAAATTTCATCTTTAGGAAGCTGCTCTATCGATTATGAAACCAGAACTCAAGTGAAAATTGGAGGAGGTCTCTTGCAAGAGTATCCTCCAGCCGTATGGAATTTCCTCGGCTAACAGTGCTGTTTTCTCACGTTCCAGTGCTCTTTACCACTCGTTATGTTCGTCACCCGATGTGTGTGGCGACCCGTAACTTTGAGCTCATGGCGTCAGGACCTAACGTCACAGCAAGCCCATCTGTAGTCACCGTTAGTCCCGCAGCAATCATACTATTTTCACTTCGAGCAGAAAAGGGACAGTGTTAGAGATTGCGACCAAACTACCTGTACAGTGAAGGGATGACATACTCCTTATCCCGGGAACGGAGAGGGCGTGGCGACGTTCATTCATTTGAACGTAACAGCGGATGCGCTTTCGGTGGTATGCTGCCGTTTTTGGACAGTCGCAATCAAGTCATTGTCCAGCACAAGAAACATCTGCGAGAAAAAGCATCTTACGCCATGTCCAAATGAGGTACGAAACCACGCCCACCCCAACATCAATATATGGAATCTATTAGACTTGTCCGGAAAGTTCTTAGCGTTTTGTGCACCTAAATTTTGTAACATTACTGCTGATTAAGAACTCAATTTCGCTTAAATTCTCAGTACACAGCCTGTAGAGAATTTCTTGCGCTATCTGATGGTATAATTGCCATTTCACCATTGCCTTAATAAACCCCTTTTTTCAAGATTTTTTCAAGCATGTGAAAAGAGCACTTCGGACGATTTTTTTCTTCGGCTATAAATTGGGGCAATCCGCAATCGAAACAGCTCAACAAATTAACCAGGTGTGGGGCCCAATAGTGCTAAAGAAAGCACTGTGCGGCAATGGCTCAATAAATTTCGCTCTGGAGATTTCAGCCTTGAAGGTGAGCCTCATAGCGGTCGACCTAAAGCAATATCTGACGAGGATTTTAGGGGATTTTGGAGGCTGACCCATCCCAAACAGTTCGAGAGATAGCAGAAGAGCTAGGCCTTAGCAAATTCACTGTTGCAGATGGTCTGGAACGCATCGGGAAAGTGAAAAAACTCGACAATTGGGTGCCCCACAATCGGAGTGACCGGCAGGAATCGGCACGTCTCGAGGTTCCTTCTTCACTGCTTTTGCGCAACAGAAACGACCTGTTTTTGGACCGAATTGTCACCTGTGATGAAAAATGGGTCATGTATGATAACAGGAGACGGTCCAGACAGTGGTTGAATTTAGACGAACCACCGTGGTAATTTTCAAAGCCGAACCCTTACGAAAAAAGATCCTGGTCACGGCTTGGTGGTCATCGGCTGGTGTGATCCTATAACTTTTTATCACCAGGCCAAACCATCACAGCAGAACCCTACTGTGAACAAACCGAGATCGCAATGTTTGCCGAAAATATTTTCAGGCCAGGCGCCAACTTTATCAAAAGAAAGGTCCATCTTTTGCATGAGCAGACGCCGCACAACGTTTTCACAAATCACCTATCGCATTAAAATGACGATATTGGGGGTTGAAGTTCTAAAACCTCAAACCGCATATTCTCCAGACTTACACCAACCGATATTCCCTTTTGGAACATTTTCAGAACTTCCTTGCTGGGAAATACTTCATCAAACAGGACCAGGCAAAA